AGTGTTGAAGTATCTAAGTTGGTTAAATAAAATACTCTACTATATAAATCATGCCATAAGTAATGAAAAAACATCCGACCATTCTATTATTAAAAAAAAATACAAAGTAGAATTTTATCGGAATATTTCTCACGATATTTCCTCCATAAAATAAATTACTTTTCTGTTACTTACCCTGACGTTGTGATTCATATAATATTTTGTCCATAACATTGAGCAGTGTCATATCCTTATACATTTTCACTAAAGTTTCATCCGGGAGTTTTGGATTTTCATTTTCATTGAGCACTTTTCCCTGCCGATCCATTACCCTGTACACTGGTATGGGTTTGTAGGATTGTTTTTCTGTGAATTCCAATTTTTCCGTCCATGTGGTTTTTGCGCCCGGAAACAATGGAGCATCGGAGGCGAATAGGCGCTGAAGATGATATTCATGGTCTGAATTATTATAATACAATGAATAGCAAGTATGATTTTGTCCATGTACACATGTTTACATTTGGGACAACAAATCTTTACACATTCGTCATCAATATCTGACGCAATAAACCATGTACTTTTATATAAGATACTCCTGTGGGTTGGGGTACCTATCGGGCGCGTCTCCAGGTGGCGGATAGGGGAACGGCCAGGGGACTAGGGGCCCTCCCCTAGTGCACCCTCCTCCTCCCCAATTCCACCTCCAACAGCAAGGGCACTTCCTGTGGCGGGTGTCAAGAGCTCCGCCTTGAATAAAGGCAAGGAACCGGCGGCCTCTGTAGGAATGCGCACTTACTTGTGCACCTCCATGGAGGGAACCCCAAGAAGGTTAAAGAAGCCACGCAACGACAGTAATGTCGCTCACCTTCCAAAACCTTCGCGGAGGCCGCAGTGAGACACCTCAAGGCTGCCAAAGAGAGTGTGTGTTCGGCGAGTCTTGGCCTACACCTACCGATATAAAGGAGATGCCTTCTAGTGACCTGTCCGGCTTCCTGGAAAGGACAGGATGGACGGTGACCTATAGGACGACAACTCCTCGGGAGGAAGTACAATGGGTCACATGTGGCCTAAGTGCTGTGGGCCTACACTCACCCACCCTATTCTACAGGTACAGATATATAAGATACCTTTTCTTGATGATAGCTTGAACTCGATAAATAATAATAATAACTATCTCCACAGCAAGTATCAGCACAAATTCTCGTATACCGCCAGAAATATGCTTGACGTTCTAATTTCACTTTGCTTCGTTGAAGTGAACTTGGGAGGAACTGTATCAACTACACGGAAAAACCAGAAAAAACATCTCCTTAGGAGTTTTCATCCTGAATCATCAGTTTCATGGTTATACTTTCCCCGACAATTGGGGGATCGTGACCTTTTGAGTTCGTAGTATCTACGTGGTAGAATGGTACTGGATGGAGCCTGTAAAGTCATCAAAGTTCGGATCCCCCTCCCTACATGCTCCGTGACCATGAGAAAGCGGGAATTGGGACATTTTTTCAATGCAGCAACCTGAACAGTTGCTCAGGTTGCGAGCTCTCAGTTAAAATCTTCCCCACACGGTGCAGCACATCCCATCTTGTCAGCAATATTGACATCTGACCTTCTTTGGTCGAAAGTCAGCCTGTAGGTGCTTTTACTTTCTGATCTGTTTGCGTCTGCTTAGGACAAGAGCTCCTCGGACCCAATGATCACTTACCTTACGGTGTGAGGAGTGGTCTTTCGTTGATGATGTTGACATGACCTTCGAAGGTATCGAGGCTCCCAAGAAGGGGCCTGACCAGCGCATTCTTCAAGGTTCAAAAAATATTTTTAATAAATCCAAAGAAGCATATATGTCTATTCAGGAAATTAAGGAAAATAAATACATAACAAGTATATAAACAGACTCAGGGAGAAGATAAAATGAAAGAGAAAACAATTTCTGAAATGAAGAAAGAAGTAAACAGNCTCACGATATTTCCACCAACACTAAAATGAATTACTTTTCTGTTACTTACCCTGACGTTGTGATTCATATAATATTTTGTCCATAACATTGAGCAGTGTCATATCCTTATACATTTTCACTAAAGTTTCATCCGGGAGTTTTGGATTTTCATTTTCATTGAGCACTTTTCCCTGCCGATCCATTACCCTGTACACTGGTATGGGTTTGTAGGATTGTTTTTCTGTGAATTCCAATTTTTCCGTCCATGTGGTTTTTGCGCCCGGAAACAATGGAGCATCGGAGGCGAATAGGCGCTGAAGATGATATTCATGGTCTGAATTATTATAATACAATGAATAGCAAGTATGATTTTGTCCATGTACACATGTTTACGTGCATTTGTATTTCTATCTTTTGGTAACCAAGTGTTGCCCATCCTTACACTTGGCTGCACCATACTGATGATGGGCCAAA